GAATAACCTAAGCTACCCATCATCTGAGATGTAGTTTGTGTCCCAATAAACGTGTCAAAGTAAAAAAAAAAAAAAAAAATAAATAAATAAAAATCTTCATACTGTGAGACAGAGGACCGTCGCCAAGTTACCTCTCAGGCCTGCCCGGTCGGGTACCAGCCAGCACTGACAGGTCTAGTATCCTGTTCTATTCTACTTGTGTGTAAACTCTTAACAATAAAGACTAAAGCTAAACAGTATTTATATAAAAGGTATAGTACCTTCTAGTGTGTGTGTGTGGTCTAGTTGCTTTCATACTAGACCACGTAGGGAAATGTGCGAATCTAGAGAGAAAGAGAGAGAGAGAGAGAGAGAGAGAGAGAGAGAGAGAGAGAGAGAGAGAGAGAGAGAGAGAGAGAGAGAGAGAGAGAGAGAGAGAGAGAGAGAGAAGGGCAGAGAAAAAGCAAATATGCACATCTACACACAACGCCTACATGACCACGCCACCCGAGAACCCGTGCTGTACCTGTGTGTGTAGTAGAACCCAACTTCCTCGATCAGAATGCAGATCATGAGCTCAAACAGAACCCAGTGGAAGGTGGGCAGCAGCGGAGACTCGTTATAGCCCCGGAAGCACACCACGTAGAAGCAGGCTGAGGAGAAGGCGGTGCCGGCGACCAGCTGGTTAAAGGTCACCCACAGGCTGCACTGCAATGTCAAGGAGGCTCTTAGGGAAGTCTAAACGCGCTGCAGAGATAGGGTGGAGATGGAAAGAGACGAGGGGAGGAGGAGGAGGATCTTGAAAATAATATAAAAAGAAGAAAAAGGAGGGGGAAAAGAAAAAGAAGAAGAAAAAAAGAAGGAAGAGGATGGGGAAAGAAGGAGAAGAAGAAGGAAGATGAGGAGGAGGGGGGAGGGAAGAAGAAGGAGGAGGAGGAGGAGAAGAAGAGAGAGAGAAAAAATATATATCTGAAAGTGTAAAGGAGGGAACATTATAGTTCACATAAGAGCATATCAAACACCGTGAGAATAGCATGGCAAGCACAACCACTAGCACATCAACCTTGATCAGCGGCTTGATCTCCACCGGCTCATTGGTTCCTGGTTGGATCTTGTAACGTCGCAAGAAGGAGGGCTTGCCGGTGAGGTCCATGAGGATGAACATCGCCCCGGTTGTCCAGTACAAGGCATAGCTACTGAGGGTTGGACCTGCGAGGAGAACGGGAAGATAGGAACGGTGCATGGAAGAGATGTCACACTCGCCACCCTTCGCGGGCCAGTCTTCGTGTCCGTTTCCTTCTGGAGAGCCAGGAAAGGCACATGCCTGGATTTCCGGAATTACGTTAGAAAAGCTGTCTGGTATTATTACATTTACATGAAGTTTATGCTACTTATTAAATTTTAGATGATGAAACATGTTAAATCTATAAATTACTTTCCTTCACAACGATCATTATTTCACAAGTTAATATTTCTTCCTGCCAGCCATTGGGCAACTTACGACAATCCCGTGGGCCGTGAGACCCCTGGTAAAGGGCAAAATCACTGGGGGTCGGACTTGGGATACGAACGGTAATTGGCAAAACTACTGAGAATTTGAGCCAAAATAAGAACGGGACGATGTGAATGGTACATGGCACAACCACTAAGATGAGAACGAATGTGAACGGTAGTTTGCTTATTTGGAAAGCCCAGGTCGAGTATAGACAACTGATCATCATGCTCTGCGAAAAAAGACTACAATTTAGTCAAAGAACTCTCTCTCTTTATCCTTCTCTCTTCTTACTTACCGTATACTAGGATGTTGAAAGGGTCGTTATTGCAGAGAAGCACGACTTTATCCCACTGATGTTGCCAGAAGTCACCAGAAGCCCCCCAGAAATGTTGAAGATGACTTAGGGGGAAACAGACATTACCATATATTTAGAACATTTACCGACGTATAGAATATAGAGCTGTGTCATAAATCTGTCTTCATACTTTACATGTCGTTTCTGGTTGCTATTATCTTCTCTTATCGTTATCTCATTATCATATTACATTACTATTATTGGTATTTTTACCATAGTTTCTTTCCTTAAATAATTGGTCTAATAAACATTCACCAAATGTTTAGGGTCTCATCTCCAAGTGAATATCTGCAATTCGTGCCTTCATACAAGTTCTCTTCAGAATATTAAAAAGATTACAAAGGGAAGTTTCTTTTTTCTACAGTGCTACTTGTTCGAAGGAATATAAATCACATTATCAATATTGGTATCATTATGGTAAGTACCCATAACAATAAAGGATTGGTATTGACAGCAGTAATTGTGGTATCAGTAAGCTCAGCCTTCTCATACATTATTGTAATTTACACCACTTACTACGTGAGGCTGTTTCTCAGGGCCAAAAGGACGACCGACGTGGACGCAACGACGACCAGTGTCTTCCTGAGCGAGGCCCACAGGTCGCGGCGTCCCTGGCGTACCTGCAGCTCCCGGTCACCCTGGTAAGTCGCGCCTTCGTCCATTGTCAGATG